GGGATCCCTTTAAGCTTTACGCTGCATTTTCACAGAAATTCTCAAATTTTGTTTTTACTTTAATTTCATTTAAACATGTTGTTTTACTTAAATGAATGACTCAAAAAAACTTTATTTAACAACTCAATTTTTGGACTTACATTCAAAAACGTTTATTCTGCAAGGGGCGCTGGCCAACACTACTTAACAGACTGAAATTTTATGTGACATACAGCTGGTCTTCTGCCTCTTTCAGGATTATCTTCTGTGCAGCACGTCTGATCATGATTACTTCTTGGTGCGTTTTCAAAGTAAAAGCCTATTTTCTTGGTGATCTATTTTTGAACATGCTGAATCCGAGGAAATACGATCATCTGGGTGTAGTATATTACTTCCCCCGTGTAATCATGAGAGCRAGCCTGGCTCTGATACAGCTCAAGAAGTTTTGTGGAAAAGAAATAAAACCTAATTGTATCCATGATTCATAAGTCAGGCAGGCAGAAGCCATAACTTTTCCCAGTGAGTATATGATCCCATATATGAGACRATAAAAGCCAACTTTACAGTCTTTCCATCATGGCTTTATTAGAAAGGAAAACATGGTAGCTGTGTTGTGTGTGCGGCAGCTCACCTACACATCTTCTTTCATCTTGTCCGAGTTGAAGGCCTGCAGATGGGCAGAGGCAGCGGATCTCCCCCTCCACTTCCTCACAGCCGTACTGACAGTGAGCCAGTGAGCAGGTCCTGGAATCTATACCGACAGGATTGGCTTATTTCCTCACATACTGTATTCTTAATTTTCTGTGTTTCATCTCAAAATGTGAAAAAACAAAACAAAACTGCACAACAGGACTTACTGGCACAAGAGCCATCAGCCATTAGCATGTATCCATTCAGGCAGTAGCATTTGTAACTKCCATGGGTGTTCATGCAGCGATGCTCACAAGGACGAGGTTTCAGGCCACACTCGTTGAGATCTGGACACAGGAAGAAATACATCTTGTTAGCTAAAAGTCATGCAGCACAACAGAGACTTTATTCAGAGGAAAAGAGATCATTTTATTTTCAATCTGACCCAGGTTTTTCCACACCCTCTTTCTTCGGTGACWTGGTGCACCCACCTTGATTGCACGTCTTTCCGGTGTATCCAGGGAAACACTTGCATTTGTTGAGGCCAACACACTCTCCGTGCTTGCAGCCGTGCTCACACTGAGCTGGGAAAACATTCAACGTGAAGAAAATACCACCAGAAATATTAGTGGTGGAGACTGATGGGTCCTATTCAAACCGCACATTTCTATCAGTCAGGAATTTCCTCCATATTTTTGTGGGTTAAGAAAATCTGATAAAAAAATAACAATATGCAGGATTTTCAGGCTGTATATTCAGATTTTTCCCCGAACTAAAGTGTTTTGTGAGGTATAAAAACACAAAGCTTTAAGTTTGGACAGTTTTTTACCCTCGCATTGCCCTTTACTGTTTTTCTTCCAGCCGTAGCAGCACTCCAGTCTCCTTCCATAACGACACACACCTGGCTGGTTTCCAGCAAGGACTTGTCGGAAGTGTCTTTGTAGAAGAAAGATGGTAAAATAACAGTCATTTTGTTTTTACGTCATGCTGATAAAAGGAAGAAACGCAAACCTGGGTATCGTGACCAAAACATTACCTCAGCAGTCACAACAAAACAGATCAGTTCAGTCTTGCACATTGACAAACAGATTTTTTGAAGTGGAGATGAAATGAACAATGACTATCTTACCTGCTGTAGATAGCTCTTTGAATGGTTATCTAAACATTAGATTAGACTGTTTTGCAACCTTTTCACAAAAACGTTTTGTTAAACAGTCTGAACTGTTAAACTAAACTGAGGTCATTTATAACTTTTCAAAGAACATCTCTTCAACAGATCTAAATTATCATTTTGGCTACGTAGGTAAATGCGACCCAAATCAGATTTTTCTTTCCTGACAATCTGAACATGAAAAATCAGATTTTTTCAAATCATACTCAAGTTTTTTTTTAATATATACTGAAATGGATACAAATCTGATATTTTTCAAAGCCACCTCTGAACGCTCGTGTCGCATTTATTCTGATTATTACATCTGAGAGGTGAACAGGTGGATCTAATAATAACAATCCTAAACTCGAGTCATGCTGTTTGGATGTTGTAGCTTCATACGTCTTCGGCTGCTGAACAGAAGTCCGTTYGCTTAATCTTTGTTCTTTTAATTTTCCATGTCCTGGATGACTGAGGATCCTCAGAAAAAAACAACAGCAACATCGGTCTGTTATTGACGGTATCAATACTAAAGTTGCTCGACTGCTTTACGTTAAGCACATTGCTTTGTTCCAAAAATAAAATGCTGCATCTGAGCAGTTGGTTAGAGGCAGGTTGAACTGCAAATACTAACACTAAGCAAACATGTCAAATAATTATTAAATCAGCTCTAAATATACCATAACATCAGAATCAACATGCTAACAAGTAGCATCAGTGTTTAGCTACTTCTGTAAACAGCGAGTTAAAGTGRCATCACATCATCTTCTGTGCATGTGGCTTGCATCAGTGCTGTGGACAGTTCACACTGTAGTCAAATGAAAGTCTCATTTAAAATATAATGTGAATATTCATGCCAAAAAAATTTAGATAAAAAAAAATCTGAATTGAGCATTAAGACCTGATGTGTGAACATAGCCTTTAAAGGAAAAAATTGATGCTTTTAAATCCTTTTTTTTTTTTTACCATTAAATCATTTACTTTTGTAT